ATATTTTTAAATAAAATAAATAATTAATTAAATAAATAAATACATGCGCGCCCATACATGATACACATATATACATAATGTACGTATAATTAAAAATGAAGAGTTTATTAAAAATGAAGCTTCAAAGAGATGAAAAACATATACATATATAGAATAATGGAAACACTTAAATTCATATTTTCATTTTTTTCATTACTGATAATTACTGATAAATTGTTTTTTTCTTAATAAAGAATTTTTTTTAGGATTAATGACGTGTACACGCAAGGTTAATGAAAATATATACATATAAATGTAATGTATATATGTGTGTATGTATGTGTGTAAAATATATGTTATAATAAAATTATATAAAATTAAAAAATATAAATTATAAGATAAGTAATAAATTATTAATTTTTTCTTAACGTTTTTACTTTAATTTTTTTATATGAGCTGTTTACAGGTTAAACGACTAATTCCACTTTCTGAATATTTTAAAATTTTAGTGTCAAAGCTCTTAATTGATCAGTCAAGTGGAGTTAATCGCTTATCCTGTGAACGGTTCATATGCTAAAGAATAAAAGAATCGTGCAATCGAATTATATAAAAAATATAGATCAATTTTTAAAAATAAAAATGATTTTGAAATCTCGGTAAAATTTTTAAAAGAACCAACTCTGTATTAACCACAGCATCTTTCTCAAAACCAAGCAACTTTGAAACTTGTTTGCAAAACATATTAGCCAGGAAACATATTTTCATAAAACGTTTATTTTAGAATTTAATAGAAAGATGTAATAATTTTTAGTAATTTATCTTATATTCAAAGATTTCTTTGTAAAATATTCTTTTTAATAAAATATTTGTATATTTATATGTCAAATATTTCAGATTAAAAGATTTCGACAAAAAATGATATAAAATTGATTCTAAAGTTGTTTAAAAATTACAAATATTAGTATATGCGATATTAATTCTCTAGAAATTCTGTATGTATATAAAGATGTATATAAAGATGTTACATATACTCTGTATATATAATATCTTTTATTTTTTTCATCTATTTATGTATTATTTTTATTTTTAAATTATATGTTCTTGAAATTATCTACTTAAGATGGAATATATACTACCATTATCTATTAAAAAAAGAGAAATAGAAGAAATAAAAGAAATAAAAGAAAGAAAAGAAGATATAACAGTTAGAGAATTGAAAATTAATGTTGTTATAATATTAATTAATAATAATATTGATTTGTTTTGTTAATAATAATTATAAAATATAAATAATTAATATTATTCATTCATATATCCAAAGCTTCGCTTTAATTAATTAATGTGTGACAAGGAAATAATAATATAAATTACAGTCTGCAGAATATATTTTATATGTATATAATGTGTTAATGTAGCAGCAATAAACGAGATTTGAAAAGTTTTGGTTTTTAGAAATTTGAAATTGATTGTTACAATCGAGTTATATAGTACTAGAAATTACGATTGTGTTTTTGTGCGAAGGAAACTATGCTATTAGCAATTTCAATTATGCGCTTCAACGAGCATAACGAATTGCAACAAGGGTATATCGCACGCGACCGCGTTGTAATTAACGAAAAGACCTGACATAGAATACAGTGACATACTGATTATATTCAAATAGATCACTCCATTTTGCTTTACGTTATTCTACTAATTACAATTGTATGATTAATATAATCTATATTAATCAAGTCTCTCTTAATAACATAATAACGTTATTAAATATATCTTAAGTATGTTATGAAATATATTATAAATTGGTGAAGCAAAAAGCCGTTTTTTCCTGTTACTTTATATTTTAAATAAAATTATTAATTTCTCTGTTAAATATAAGGGCGTGTGTAATGTTTTCAAGTAAAATACATTATTTGATCAAATTTCGTAAAAATCTTCTTTTAAAGTAGAAAAGATGTATCAGGTCGACAATGACTCTATATTAAAAAAATTATTGGGTTAATGTTTTGAGAAAACTGATATATTTCTCAATAATATATTTTAGATATTTTCCAGCAAAAAAATTACATACAGGATGCATCATATAAAATATTACAATGCGTTTTTTCCTATTAAAGGTTGCAAGGAGATTCTTTTGCTGTTTTTATAGTTTCTTAAGGCTATTGTTGATGCAAATAATTTATTATTATAGCATATATACTTGTGATAATGCATTTTAATGTGATCCAGGTACACTAAGCGTCTTTATATCTTGATATCTTAGGCCTACTTTTAACGCAACTTAAAATTTGCATAAAATAATAAATTTCTTTAATTATTAATTATTTAAAAAACAATTTGTTCTATAGGTTGTACAAAAATGTGCATTGAAAAATTTCTTTTATTAGAATTTAAATATTCATAAAAACTGAATAATATTTCTGTGGCTTTCATTTGACAAATACAACAATCTTTTTTGAATGGATTAAATTTTAATAATTTTAAATAGTGCACGTATTGTGGGCAGGTGGCTATATTTTGTGCAACTAGTGCACTCTCGGTGAGTGGAAAATTTTCGAACACTTGTTACACTAAGAAATCGAGTGGCATATATCGAGCGCGAATAAATGGCGATGGTAAAACCGGGGAAGGAAACGGAGGATGTTGAACTGCAGCGTCGACAAATTCCTTGCGCTCAACGAAATGGCCAAACCTATTGTCACTCGCTCGTCACTATTTCGAATTTTCGCTGGACGACAATGCTCAGTGATGACGAGATTCTATCTTATTGAAGTCATCTTGCTATATGTTCGGTTAAAGAAGAGATAGACCTTAAAGCCTAAGATAAAGCTTCATCGGCTCGTTGAAGTTTTTTTTGACAAATTATTATATAAAAAATAATAATTTTTATAGAGTCCTTACTTGGCGTGCATTATTTTTTTAAAGATAAATACTTCAATTAAAGTTTAGAGAATTCTTTTTAGTGAAAACATCGAGGCGCCAATAATTTTCGGTTTATAACAGATTAAAGTTTTCTTATGTGAATTAAACCTTTTAAGATTAAATAAATTACAGAACTATATTTTCTATTAATTTTAGGTCAAACTTTACTTTAAATTACTTTAAATTGAAATATATGAAATATTAAAAATATATTTATTAATTAATGTTTATAATAACATAATTAAAATCAGAATGAGTTTTATTTATTTAGATATTAAAAAATAAGAAATAAAAAATAGTATGCATATTATCCAAAAAAGATTCTCTATTTATTTCATCATTGTATCTATTTCATTGAAACAAAAAATTAACTTTTTTTAGAAAATATTATAATTTTATATTTATTTTCTACGACGTACTTAAATGTAGGAAATAAATATAAATCAAACAATGTTGTATGATTACATTATCAAATAATACATATTTTATATCGAAATTATAACAATAATGGATTATTATTTGTTTGAATAAATTTCTGTTATTTATTTCATACGCATTAAAATATGTATGCAGGATTTTTTAGAAAGATTTTTAAACTTTTAGCAGAGAAATGATGTAGAGAAGATGTAGAGAATATTCATAAAATAATAACTATAATATTTAGAACTTTATTGAAATATAAGCGATAATAGAAATATCGCATTATATTATATAAATATAACATAAAACTTATTTTATTAAAAACATGCTTTCTTAAATAAACAAACATTGTTAGAAATATATATAGCGAAAAATCTTTTTATAAAATTGACGATAAATACATGACATTTTTAACAATTTATGAATAAAAGTATAGCTTTTTTTACTTACGCATTCTTTTATAATGAAGAGTTCAAATTTTTATTAAAATAGAAGGAAATAACCTGGATATGTATGGGTAATATGAAATTAATCACATTTCAATAAATATTGATTTTAGAAAATACATTTTTATTAAAATTTTCATGCTTATTGAATATATGCGTATTGAATATATGTCACATAGAGTGAACAAATTAGAATTATATAAATTAGGTTAGATTAAATCAGGCAATCTAATCAAACCTAACCTGAGATTATTTAACCTAACCTCAGGTTAGGTTAGATAAGATTTATTACGGTATATATTTGCAACATCAAAAGTGAAATATTGATATGAATTCACATAATAAGAAATAAGCTCATTTTATTAACTGTGTCAAAGATGATTTACATAAATATGAAGGAAATGACGCGACGACCAAGATAAATCTTAAATTTTGAAAACCAGAAATTCAAAAATCAATCTCTTCTCTCTCTCTCAAACAACAAAAGACAAAAGTCTTAAATTTTGAAAACCAGAAATTCAAAAATCAATCTCTTTTCTCTCTCTCTCTCTCTCTCTCTCTCTCTCTCTCTCTCTCTCGAATTAACGATCAGATGCCTGTTTCGTGGCAAGATTATATTTATCTCGCACTTTTGTCTCCATCCTTCTCTCGGACGAGAACGACGCGTCACAGACGCGATACCCCGTGACCCCCCTATGTCCTCGACCGCCGTGATGTCCGCGTGGAAAATCGTGCCTCATTTGGATTGGGAGATCGCGATTGTCAGATAAAACCATCACCCGTACCGACCGCCAGTAAATTGAAATTCAGAAGGAAGGAAATGAAAAAAAAACGGCGATATATACGACGTGTAAGAGAAGACGAGAGAGGAGGGAAGGTGGCTTTGTCGGAGCAATATCGGCGACGGCTCACGGAAAAAGGGGAAGAAGCAAGAGAAGCTGCAAGAGAAGGGAGAGGGGGAAATAGAGGCGCGAGGGTAGAACTTGCACGCGATCTCTCCGCGCCCGAACTGAAAAATTATAATAATCACTTTAGAAATTAATGGGCACCTCGGATGACCGGGAATCTGCGCGGCGCGCGATCAAAAGGGATTCACACCGGTTTGGTGGGAAAGGGAGGGGGGGTGAATGGGCGGAGCGTGCAAATGGCGGTGCTATCCGGAATGCGCCAATCGTCGAACAGCACCGGAAGCATCGAATAGCGGATCGCCACGCCTACCGCGTGTGACGTCACGTGATTGTCTTGCGCGAAGCGAAGACACGACCCGCATTTACTCCCGGCATTTACGGCTGGCCAGTCATCACTCTGACGGCGTATCTACTGCCGTCTGTCACGCGATCGCTTTTTCTCCTTCATCTTAAGCGCGCCTTTTTCTTCCTCCTCATCTCTGTCTCTCTCTCTCTCTCTCTCTTTTTTTCTGTCTTTTTCTTTCTCTTCTCATTAGTCTATCGTGCTTTTGGTAATTTCATTCTAAGAACGCAAAAATCTAAAAAAAAAGTATAGTGTATACGCGTGGGATCGACGGAGGTGGAGAGGGAGGAGACGTTGTTCGATCCACGAATCGATTTCGGGGGGTGGAGTCAACAGCGTTCGATCTACGATGTTTCGCTAATTAGAAGAGTGCATATTTCTCGATCTTGTCGAGCAGTACAAGAAAAAAAAAGCATGATCCACGATTGATCGCGAAGACACACTAGTCACGGATAGAACTGCGAGACGAAAAGATCGCTTTTTAGCGGGAAAAAGTGTTTAAGTGTTAGTGCGTTTATGAATGGATATCGAAAAATAATATTGTGATTATTGTGAGATCAACGCGTAGTGTTGGAAAGTGAATTGATAAAGCAGAATAGAAACATCGTCAAAAAACGAGTAAGGTCACTCCTTTCCGACTCGAATTCTCTCTTCTTGCGAAGAGGTATCTTTTTAATTAATACACATCAACGACTTCGTATATAATATTGCTTCGTATCTACTACAATCTATCTTGACTTTGCTTCATTGTGGGATTCCGGTAGAGTGAATTAATCTTTCACTCGACTTGCGAAAGGCAAGTTGTTACAACGCCATTATCTCCTTCCGAGAGGAGGACCCCTCGTCGAGTCATTTAATCTATTGCCGTCCAAGCCTGCGCAACCCCGTTTGCATGCTTCTTAGACAGATATCACAAATAAAGGGATTTTTTTTATAATCACGAAAATCTGGCATTCGAAGCAAAATCAAAGGATTATGCGAGCATAATTAATAATAAAATTTAAACGAACAAGAAGCTAAGAAGCTAAACACATACATTGATAAATCAGGATTTCCCTCGGTGAATTTATTTTAGAGTATCCGAATCTCTCTTCAGTGATAAAATTCAGAGCAATCTCATCGAACTTGGGATCTTGAGTTTGCGCCTCACGTGGCGTTTCCGATCCGCACATCGTGTCATCCTTCTCTTCAGCGGAGTATTCGATAAAAAAAAAGTGGTCTCAACGCAACAAACGATAGTCACGCGTTGCTCGGGTGGAGGCGGAAGTGGCGGCGGCGACGGTGGAGGCGGTGGCGGCGACGGCGACGGTGGTGGCAGCGGTGGCGGTGGCCAGGAGACGCTCGCGTATGCGACCGCGTCTGACGCGGTAGAGGAAGTGGAAGTAGAGGTCGACGAGGTTAAGATGGAAGCCGAGGACCATCTAGCGAGAGAGTACGTGCAGGAGTTTGTTCTCGATCATCTGGATCCCGCCGACGTCAAACGAGAAGTGAGTGTTCTGAACGTTTCTGAAAATATCTTCATGATCACCCGCACCCCGTGAAATTGCTTCGATTTAAGAGGGTAGGAAAATATTTTGATTCGATTGCATATAAATTTGATATGCGCGAAGGATAGATCTCAATTTATTTCTTCTCACAGTTTAGGATAGAGACAAGTGGTAGGAAAAAAAATTGAATGTGTTTAATGACGCCTAACTTTCTATGTGACGTTATTCTTTTTTTGCAAGTATTATATTTGTAAAAGGTAATTACACTTTTTTCAAATTATTTTATGATTATTTTGAATTATATGATACGTTTCATATATAGAAATGAATATTTCAATATTCTATGTAAAAAAGTATTTTTTTTAAATAAGATGATATAATATATCTGCAATGTTTAATTGACACCTGTTTTAAATGTTTATAAACTACATTTTGTTATTAATTAATTTTTCTGTGATTTCATATAATAGCAAAACATTATTATAATCGCAAACTGTTTCATATTTAACATATATTTGCAAAGAATAATGAAGTTTGAAAATGATAACAATCTTATCTTTTTTAACGTATTAAAAACGAAAGTATTAGTTTTAAAACTAAATTTTAATTTATGCATTTGTGTATATAACACCATTTCAATTAAGAAATTATACATCTTTAAATTAATTATAATTATGTTACATATAGAAAATATAATTTATTTTTGTTTCTGGTTTATTTTTTCTCATAATTTTCTATAAAAAACATTTGTAATTTAAAAAAAAATTTCTAAGTTTGAAATGCAGATTAATAATTTAATTTAAAAGTAAATAATTTAATTTTCATAATTATAATAATATGTAAAATAACATGTAAATACAATATAAATATATATAAAATAATGTAAATATATAATGTAAAATTCTTTTGTTTTATATCTCACTATTTATACATATAGAATACAATTAGTATTATATACATAAAATTATTATTAAATTAATATTAATTTGAATAATAGGTTACATTCACGGAAATATAATAATTTAGAAGGTATTAAAATAAAAATTAGATTACATCAGAAAAATAAAAAGCTTTTAAGTAATTAAACTTTACATATATGCAAACAAAAATAATAAAATACAATTATCTTATTCTTTTATTAAATCTCGATCGGATTTTATTTTAATAGATTTATAATTTTAAGATATTTTTCGCATTAAAAATTGAAAAAAGTTTGCGACAAACAATAATTTTCTTCGACGTTTTCTCTAAAAAAAATTCTAATTTTAAGGTAAATAAAAAAATTTGTAAATGAAATATAGTCCTCCCCCGTCAGATAGAACATTTTATATAATCTCACTACTCGGACAAGAGAGAAAGTATTTTATATTATATTATCATTCAGACATGCAGCACGTGCCGCATATAAACGAAATATAATCCGTTATAATTATGTAAACCAATTATGTATATCACGGTTTTGCAAATAAGATCGACATGTGAGTATTTTTTCATGAAAGAGTGTAGTCAAAAACGTAATGATTTATATGATATTGTTACATTGACATTTCTATTATAATATTTTACGAAAATATGAACTGTATATGATGAAGATATAAATCTACTTATTCGTTAATGATAATTTTATATATAATGTGATAATCTCTCTCTTGTTTATTTTAGAAAAGATATATGTGATTAAATAAATTTTGTTTTTGATCAAAATACTATGATTAGATCTTAAATAAGAGATCTGTATGATCGAGTGTATGATGTATGATTACATTGTTTGAACAGTTCGAAGTAGAAAGTTCTCTGCAAATAATAGATAGTTCGAAGAGAACCAATAGTTTATTTAATCGAATCGAAGAATTAGTTCGATTAGTTTGGATTTTAAAAGATTTCAATACAATTAATATTTATAAAATATAAACAGTTCCTATTTGTTTTCTATTCATAATACATTTAACTTTGGGTAATATATCATTTAAAGATAATTCGAACTATTTAAATAAATCTTTAAATTCAAGAGATTTTATTTTTTATGTAATTATGATTTATAAGAGTGTTCAGATTTAAATTCGATTAAATACCAAAATTCTATAAAATTTTGTTGTTGTGATATATTTATTTTTTGAATTGTTTTTGCATCAAAGCATATCAAATAAGATGAAGCAAAGAGAATTGTTAAGTAAAAAAAAAGATTCTTTTTTGTTGATTTATAATGTTGATTGCTGCCACAAATCAAAATAAAAAATTTTTCATTCTTGTCTATTGTCATTAATAATATTTTGATTTTTAAATATTATAAACCAATATTGTTTATGTGTTTATATATTTAAATACATTATTGGAACCAATCTTCTCAGTTATGCTATTTATTTTCAAAATCTTTATAAATTATACTAAATAATTTTATTCAAATCTATAGAACAATCATTTAATTTATTTTCGGAAAATTTTCGGAAAATTAAAGATAAGAAATATTTGCATAATTGTATTGGAATGTGATCTACTAATATATATTAATTACTAATATATATTAACGATATTTAGTTCAAATCTATCATCTAAAAACATATATAATGAAAAATCAACTTGCAGTAATCAAAATATAAAAATATAAAGATGTCAAACGAAAACAAAGAAATTTTTGTAAAAAACGAAGTTTTATTTTGATTTTTTCATAAAAAAATAATATTTTGTTTTTTTTATACAAAAGTCCGAAAAATCACAATTTTGATTTTTTGCTCGAATCTAATTATCTAACATCGAGGCATCAATGCATGAATTGTAGGTACGAATGGGTTCGCCGACGGTAATGGTTAACAGCAGCGTGGTGCAGCTTCCGGGACAGGTACAGTCGCATCAGGGTCTGACTCTGGCGCCGCTGACGCCACCCGCGCACGAACTGGAGCAGCCTCATCCGTTGTACGGTCAACCTCACATTCAAATGCAACACGGCGTCCTGGTGAAGGCGCCGCCGGTTGCTACGGCACATCTCACCACGCTGTCGCATCCGGGAACGCCGCCGGATACGCCGCCCGTCTCGGCCTCGCCGCCGCCGCTGCAGCTGCATCGCGGCGACCGGGATCACCGGGATGCGCGCGATCCCCGCGATCGCGGGGGTATACTGCTGCAGCTGCAGCAGCCGCCGGCCACACTGGTCCAAGACGAGATACAAGTGAGCACGGGTGGCATGGGCTGGCTGACTCAGTCTTTGAGGCAGGAACCGCTAGACCTAAGACCTCACTGTCCTCAAGAGCAAACCCCGGAGCCCCATCATGAATCCTGGTCGGCCGCGCCGGCACATCATCATTTCCAAGAGTTGCAGCATTTACAGCGTCCCACCAGGCACACAGGTGAGTATTATTGTAAGGAAATATTTTTGCACTCACTTTTTGCGAAAGATTTTTATGAGAACATTTTTATTTGTAATTGCATAGAAAAGTAAGAAAATTTTTTCTATTAAAGAAATATTAAAAGTTAAAGAAATTCTTGAAAATAATTTTTTTTCAACAATACATATTATTCGTAAAATTCTAACATTAATAAATATCTTGACTTTCAAATCGAATCGTTTACGAATAAATTGATAACTTATTTGTATATTATATTGTATTATCTCACAACAAAGTGTCAAATTGACCGATGTATGTGTAAATTTTAGAAACATATTTATAAAATTTTATTTTGAAAATGTTTATAACTTGAAGAATATGTATTTGAAATAATTTGATAATGAATATTAAAATATTGCTTAATTAAATTTTTGCATACATTTTAGATGCGTATGCAAAACATATCTTTATTTTTATAGCGCTACAATAGCAATGTTTGTAAATATATTTTCACATTTAAAACGTTGGTCATAACAAATAAAACGCTATGTATTACGCTCGTAAATCTCCCGCAACATTCTCATTATTCGCGTTTACGCGCTCAAATAAAAAAACGTTTTTAAAAACATACTAATAATATTTAATTCAGAATTTAGTAAAAAAATATAATAACAGAAATCAAAATAATAATCATAATTTGATCAAAAACTGATTTTTCTTCTGATAATGATGACTTACTCGTTGTTATCAAAATTTTATTTATATTATCAAACATATAATTCATATAATTCAATGATGGAATTTCAGAACTATATTGATTCAAAGAGTGCTGATTTTATTTCTGATATTATTCTTGATTTTTTTATAATTTTTATATTAAATTTTTAGAAAATCTTGAATTTTATTTTTTTACTTAAAATCTCATTTTTTACTGTTTTTCGATATAAGAAAAGTGTGCAGTATTATATACATAAAATAAAGAAGAAATTTAAAATTAAAAAAAAAGAAATCACAAGAATTTAGTAGTATTGCTTGACGGAAAAAAAAACTGCATATCTAACAACTGATTTTTTAAACTAACATCTTGAGCGTGACTTCTCATAGATAACATTTTTATTATTTTCTCCGACGTATTTCTTTATATTCTCTATTATCATTGTCATAGGGGGATACCTAGCGATGTCGAATCATCTGGAGTATTACAGCGGTTCGAGCGCAGGAGGAGGAATGCTTCCTACGAGCGGAAGTGTGATGCAGGGAATGGAAGACAGTATGCAGGGAATACCGATGCAACCGGGCAGACCGTTAAGTGTCTGTTCCGTGAGCTCCTGCGGTGCCAATGGACCCAATCCAGCCCATCGTGTGAGCAATGGCCTGTACTCCAATTGCAGCAGCTCAAATGCTCAGGAGGAACTCATGGACGATGAGCTCCTGATGTCGCTTTCGGTGCGCGAGCTCAACAAACGTCTTCATGGTTGTCCGCGAGAACAGGTAAATGAAATCTCTCGTTCTATTGTTCGCATCATAAATTTCTGTATATTATATTAGACCGCTGATGCTATAAAGCTGATGCATTTTCTGGACGAGTAGAATATATTGAATAAAATGTTCATTATAGATTTTCTATCATATTCATTGCAAGTCCAATTTTTTAATCGCATTCAGACTGTCAATTGAATCCTTTGAAAAAAAATCTGTAATATTTCATAGAAATATATAAGATTCATAGAAATTGATTTATAAATATTTGTTGTATTTAACAATACATAAAAAGTATTAGAAAAATTTAATTTAAAAATAAGAGAAAAGGATTATACTAAATAAATTTTATAAATCTTTCTTTAGAATATTTATTTGGGCAGTCAAATATACTATACGTATATATCTTATTTTTCTACGTGCGTATATACACGTTTGATTTTTTCACAGTATCAGTTTTTTTTTAATGTACGTTTACTATTTCATTATCAAGAGACGACATATCGAATTTTATGATACCTGGTATAACATTCTACCCATCTAGAAAATGGCTGCCCTTGTATCATATTTCACCACATGACACTTAGCCATGTTAGTGGTTTTTAGTATGATACATAAAAGTAAGTAACCCGCACACGAGAAGATGCATCATAACATATATACATATATCTTCAAATAAAAAATTAAAATCGGTGTAATATCGTAGAATAAACAAATCTTAATCTGAAAAAAATATGTAACAATGGTTTATTAAAATTTACTGTGTGAAATTGATATAATTTCACTAGTAAGTTAAATTTTCTATATTTTGTCTTTTTATATCTCGACAAAATTCAATTGATTTAACTTGGCGGATTCATCAAATTTTATCAACTCTTTATAAGATAATTTTTATGATCATTACAAAGGAAAAAAACTTCATATAAATATAGATCTGATTCCACTTGTTTGTACAATTTAATGAATCGTTGCAAGTAAATTAATAGAATCGTAATAAAACGATAGGACAGTATTTTTTTGCTCCGTTACAATAACTTTTAAATTTATAATTTATAATAGAATATATCACATAAAGCATGCTAATGTTAAAAATGTAAACGCGTGTGGTTTACATATAAATTGCATTGAAATGAAAAATAAAAATAATTTCATACAACATAAAATATTACAGCAACATTGTCGCAATGTTATTACAATATTCTGTACTGAGAAGTTTATAAAAAACTCTGATTTAAAGTGAATTGAGAAGGCATATCAATTAAATGATATTATACATGTATAATAATACATAATATATTATACATGTATAATAATATTTGTATATGTAAGTAATTGAGATTACTGGCAATCGACTGTTGACAAAATAATATAAACAAATGAAGCATGGTAATCGGATTTATTTAGGCAAAAGAATCCGCTAAAATAATTTTATTTTTAAATTGTTTATATTCAGTATTAATATTTAGCAATAATTTCGAAAACTTACTGAAAAGATCGTTCGGAAATCTTGTAATAAAGAAATCACTATATTAAGTCCGCCATTTTAAATTTTATGAGTATCACATAAAAATCCCATGGTCCTATCAGTTTCAAAATTTTAAAACGATTTATTCGCATTCAAAAATTCTCAAAGTTTAAACTATTAATTTATTTTATGATTCTATATGTTGTATGTCTATGCTTTATATATTAGATTAAAGATGCATATATGTAAAGTTACACACATATTATTAAAAAGTTTATAAGAATAAAAATAACTGTTCTCCTCAATATTATATAAATTTTTAAAAAATCTTAGATACAAAACCGTAAACTGCAAATAAACCATTAAATAATATAAACGTGAATTAAACTAAAGAAACAGCGCAAAAAAGTAAGTTGTTAATAAAAAAATCTAATCTTGCGTTTTCTTGAGTTTTATCACAGTTTATTTTTTAATAAGAAACAAATAAACATAAACGTTATTGCTATTTGTCAATATCATTTCTGTAACTCAAAAAATTACATCGGTTTTAATTTTTGTTATAAAAATCTATCATAAATATCTACCGCTCTAAATTGTAACGTATTCATTTAATTTTATAAATTTATATCTAACAATATGCGAAGGTTGTGCGATTGAAGCAGAAGCGGCGGACACTGAAGAATCGCGGTTACGCTCAAAATTGTCGGAGTAAACGGTTGCAACAACGTCAGGACCTCGAGACAACTAATAGGAATTTGCAAAATGAGCTTCAGCGTACAAAGATCGATGTGGCGCGACTTCAACAAGAACGCGATCTTTACAAGCAAAGATACGAGATGTTAAGGGCGCGACAAAATCACCATCATAATCACAATCATAGCCATCATCAACAGCAGACATTGCAGCAACAGCAGCAGCAGCAACAGCAGCAACATCAAACTCAAAATCAACCATCGCATCCGCAGCAGCAACAGCAGCAGCATCAACCAGCACCCGCGAGTCCCGAAGTTTATCTGTGACATCGACAGCGCCGAGGAGGCGCTTGTTGGACTTGAAGTCATTTGTTACGTCAATGGATTCTTCCATTGGTGAGTAAAAACATTTCATAAGTCACCAATAAAAACAAACCATACATCGCAATGCGATGTAACGTTTGCATAATTTAGGGGAATAAAAATATTTCACATTTAAATAGTGTTATACTTTATATATTATATATATAATTTATCTCTATATAAAGTTATGATATATATTTTATAAGTTATGTATTATTTATAAGTTATATATTTTATAAGTTATAAGTGGTGATATATATTTTATTTAAATATATATGAAAAATTTTATATTTTTGTTTTAGTGATAAAATTTAATTATAATCTCTTCTGGAAAAACGGATAAGATATATGTATATGTTCAAAAATTACTGTACAAAAGAGAGGAACTTCTTGAAATAAGACAATTTTCTTTTGCAATTCTAACTTGATAAATAGTCGAGTATATATAAATTAATATTATTGATGAGATGTTTCTCTCTCGTAAGCTTCATTTAGACGATCTATACATAATTCCCGACAAAATTTACAAGACAGAATTATATTTATAATTCTTATGTGTCATATAATAGAAAGAAATTTTTGAACATATAATTCAAAAAACAAACTTATACGTACAAATCAAATTATATCAAAACACACATATACATTAAAACATGTAACATACAAAATTATAAACTATAGAACTTTATGGTAAATTTCATCGTGAATTAGAAATCATCTAAAAAAACCTTTATATTAGTGTTTTAAAAACAGCATGAGTATGTGATTAAGCGTGTATCGACATATTTGAAAAATGGTTCAAATAACCAATATGTTGAAAAAGTTATTGTACAGAAAAGTATTGTTTTATTATATATTTTATTACATATTTTTATTATACATATTAAATTTTATTTGTTTATATATTATATTTTATTACATATTTTGCTTCATTTGATTACATCTTATACTTTATATTTTATTGTATAATGTACTTTATATTTTATTACAAAAAAGCAATAAATTTTAAATCTGTAATGTTTTACATTTTAATTTATAATCGGAAACTCTAAAGAGTATTAAGTTTAACATAATTTCTAATTATTAAATAATTAACTAATTAATTAATATTTTGCTACACAAAAATAAATAAAAAAACAAATTAAAATAAAAAGATAACTTTGGGAAAAGATTAAACTTAAAAATTTTTTTATTTTAGCCTATTTCTTTAATAAAGCGATAATGGTAGAGAATTCTATCAACTAAAAGTGAAAAATGTATGTATACCACATAATTTGATTCTTTCGGAAAACTCTTTATTTTTAGTATAATTTAGAATTCAAAATTATTATTATTATTTTAATATTTTCATAAAGGAAAAATAAATTCGAAAAGTGAAAAAAGGATAATTTGATATCAAGAAAATAAGATAAAGAGACTTTTATTTCCACAAATATATATCTTATTCTTAACACGCAACCGAAACTTTAAAATAATTAATATCTAAAAAAAACAATATTATCTAACAAAGAGTATTTTTTGAAGAATTAGAAAAGGAATATATACATATATACATATTATATATATATTAAAAATATATACACATACATATATATGTACTAAAATGTATTACAAGTTTGGCAAAGTCTAATCGAAATTGCTATCATAGCGGCAAATAAATCTTTCGATTGCATAAACGGTCGACTGGTTTCACTACTTGGAAACACGAGCACGATTTCATGAACGAACCGGTGGCGCGAATCCGCCGGTCTTTCCCGCTTCCCTCGCTTTATTTGCAACGCCATTTCTGCTGACATCGCTGTTCGGCGATGAAACCATCGAGATGGAACGTCGGTAAACAATACGTTCACCTCTTTCACAGTCTCGAAACTCGCAGTCTAGCTGAAAGCGAAAGAGAGAACCGGAGCTGCCAAGAACGCCCTACAAATATACAGAGCATTCTAGGCATCACGCATCTCTTCTGGATTGCCGACATACTAAAGAGCTAGCCATTTTATTTTAACAGAGACATCCATTTATGTAAAAATAAATAAATGAAAGAAAAACTCACTTCTTTTTAATAAAATAAAAAAAGTAAAATGGCTTTTGATATCTATTGATATAAGAAGTCTGATAGAAACTCTCTTTCTTATTATTTCGATTCTTTTTTCAAGAGAATTGCATATTTAATTATAGAAATCATTATCGTATTAACTCAATTTTTATTAAAGAAACATGAGCAAAGAATAAGATATCAAAACAAATAAAGTCATGCCGTGCAAATATGAGTAAATGTAAGTGTTCAATTTTTAAACACAAAGATGGATGAAGTTCTAATGAGGCTTTAACAGACTTGTCCACAAGGGTCGTTTGACAATGGATCGTTTTCGACCCTCGATGATCCCTTGAGCAGATGTAACATGTCGTCGCATCCGTCAAGTTGATGGATTGATTAATCGTTCGTTTCAATAGATTTATATTACTTTTGCATCTTGTTACGATTGACCTTCGCTTAATTAAACTGTACATCAAAATTTTTGAAAATGCTTATATTATTTAATTTTTCATATTATACGATTTAAATTCAATTAGTATAATTTAATTTTAATAACAAAAAATTTCTATAAATGAAAATTTTATATTTTTTATTATATCATACACTATAGAATATTGAAAAAAAAGAAGTTATAGAATAGATAATACTTATTAATGAAACTTTGTTATATCATTTCATCACGGAATGGAATGCATGCGTGCAGTTGAAAGGAGGACACCTTTTATAAACATTTAAAGGGAATACATACATAAGATAATTATTTGTTTTTATATCGTATGTGATAAAAAATAAACCACGACATAATTTTCAGTTAGATGCATAATAATTTTTATGAAAATTGTTCGAATTATGTTATATTTTATTACAACTTATCGTAAAAGTTATTAAAATTATTTGCGAAAAAAGATAAGAATATAAAACTTTAGTTTTTTGATTATATTAATAAAAAAATATTTAAAATAAAATTACATTAAATAAATAATGGCTAGCCATCGGTCTATGAGTGATAGGCAAGATAGCCAATGATGTCGCGTGTGGTGTGTAGAGGTGTCATCGATATATCGACGCCGAAAACAGGTGGGAATGACGAAAGAGAAGCTTCGAGAATGAGCTGGAGATGGGAACTTCATTGTCAGGTCACGCCGACAACGTGGCCTATCTCTATCTTCTACAACGATCCCTCCGCTTTGGGAGCTTCCTCTCTTCCATAGACGATCTACCCCCTTCACTTTCCAGCGTTCTTCGCAAATATACATTTGGGTATATAGTAAGAAAGAAAGGCGAATAAAATATTTCAAAATTTGAATAAATTCGATTAATTATTGATAAAAATAAATTATTTACTATTGGATTACTGTAAACATGATTTGAGTAATATATTAATATATATATATATATATATATATATATATATATATTAATATAATATATTAATATACAAAAACATATTATTAATTTAAGGAGACATTTTATTATAACGGAGATCAATAGAATAGTTCGTAATTCATATATTTCAGAATCAAATTTTAAATATTTTATCACTCGAGTTTGAATTAATATTCAAATAATTTCTCTTTCTATTCAAATTTATTTCAGGCAATATATCGCGTAAAAGTTATTAGCGATATATTAGCGTAATATCAGATGTGAATAAAACGTAAATAAAAGTTGATTCGATCAAACAGATTGACTATTGCTTTTATTTGAATACTTTTCTTTAAACCGTTTAAACAAAATTCGTTCAGAATCTTTTATCTAAATCCTCTATTCTAATCTTTATCGGTAAAGCATGAGAATCAATTGGTAGCATTCATTCCGTCCGGCAGCTTTAAGTTGGTGACGTCACGTTTACTCTCACTGCGTATAAAAGGTGGAGAAAGGAAAGATTTGGCGACGCCAGCATCTTTCACTTCTGATGACGATGTGGGTTTGCGGTGGTTGATGACGCGGCACCGTAGGTTATATCCGTACCTATATAGAGACACTAACACATACACAATCGGGGTATATACATATGTACACCGACGGGGTCCAGCGTTTGTCGAATGAACGAAATCTGCAGATACGGAAGTAAGAAAATCGCAAGAAGATGGCCACCTTGACCCAGTCTTGCTCACTCGGTTGAATAATCGCGCGCGCGCGTGCATGGGAGAAGCAAAATACTATATTAACATAAGTGCTTAGAGACGTAAATAGAAAAAAAGACAAAATGTATTTTCTGCTCATAAAATACAGTTTATTGTGAAAAACAAACAAACCTTATTCTTTTTTCAAAATTTCACTTTATTTCTTTCAATAGTTTATTATTTTGATCATTACAAGTTAATTTTATGTCTGCATGATATTTTAAGTGATAGATTTGAACTATCATCACTATTTTAAATTAGATCGCATTCCACTTGGTTATAGTTATATATTTGCTATTTTTAATTAGATAAATTACTCAAAAACCAATCAAAAGATTGAACTTGAATGAATTGTTTTCATTACAAATAAACATAGTTTGTAACTTTCAGAAATGAAAAAAATCATTGATAATTGCTAAACTTTTTAATTCTCATTATATATATTTGATTATAACTATAATTAAAATTTGAAAATAATATACTTTATATTAATTATATATTTTATTATTATATTTTTTCCTGATATCTTCTTGATTATAATTTTAAATTAAAATTAAAATTAAATTAAATTAAAATTAAAATTATGAAAGATTTTCTATATTATTTAATGATTAGAATTATTGGATGGAAATTATTGATTTAAAACATTGGCAGATAGCACATTATTCGTGAAAGAAGTAATACAATCGCAATGTTTCTAGTTTAACGACTCTGAAGAAGCCACCCTGACCCAGTCGGATAATCAGTTCGTCAAAAGAGATCGATAGTCGCTAATCTGATCAAATTACTTTGTTTTTTCTTCCATTGCATACACATTTTTAGGGTCAACAAGTTCAGCGCAGTTTAAGCTGCAAATTATTGACAAATTAATTATCAATTCTCGTGCGAATTATAATTTAACTAAAACATGCGTAACTAATTATTAAATATTTAAGAAAAGCATAATATTATTTTTAATAAAAAATGATAATTCTCTTTTTCTTTTATTATGCGGAAATCCTAATATAAAAATACAATCCATTTTTTTTCATTTTTCCCTATCAATCTCCTGTTTTGAAGTTAATATTTTCCTATTTCCAGAATATAAATAAAGAAAATAAAGTTTTGATCATATCATTTTTTATTCGCGTCTGTAAAAAAAATAATAATAAATAAATATAAGAGTTAGTATTATGTGTACGTAGATATAGATTAAAAATTCTGTTATCAATTATTAGAAATAATTTTATATAAGAGAATCCTTATTATATAAACAATTATTTACAACATATTATTTTAAACTTTTATATTTTTCTAAAAGATTTAAAATAACATAATAATATAAATAATTATTATTTAATTTAATATATAAAAAAATCTTAAATAATTTGTTCGTATTTATGAAATCACACAAAGGAAAGTATTTTATTCTCCTAAATTATGTAAATTTTATATTTGTGTATTTCTAAAAATTGACAATCATTAAATTACACCTTATTTGTTTATACATCTTGATTACGTGAGCAGTTTTTCAGGTATCACTCAGAAGGCATGCAGGACGTAAGGCGGTAGAACTTCAGCTTCCCTTTCATCGATTTCTTCTATTCTTCGTCATCGTGTCACTATACATCGAACCTTATGGCCGTCTATTGGCTGTGAGGGGATGCGGCTAGTTCCTTCCTAGGCGTGTACTGACTGGTGATTTAGTGAGATCCGATCAGTTGGACCATAAATATCAGGTGTTTTTTTGCTCGCATACAAACACACACACACATACACATACGCATATACTATTTCTTCTTCGAATAGAATAAAGCGTCTGACCAGGGGGTAGTTAAGGGGACGGCATTCGTCTTCTCGTTAGTGTGTTCACCACTTTCTTCTCTCGAATTTCTTTCAATATTCGAAATGAGACTCTAAAACACATTTTATATTTGTCTATTTAGTGTACGTAAAGAAATTGTGCGACATAAAAATTTTCTTAAATTTTTATTTATATTTTTTATTCTTTTAAATATTTTTTACAATCAAGTTGTCTCGCTACGAATCTTTTCAAGTAAGAACGTTTCGCGACATTCTTTTTCTCGAAAAAAAGTCTACAAAAATATATTAAATTAAGAAAAAGAAAAAGAGAGAGAGAGAATAGATAAATTAGAAGAATTTAAAAAAGTCTACCTTATTAAAATATCTCAAAGTTGTGCATCCTTTTATTGAGATTCAAATAAAGTCAGATTCTTAGGAGAAACCGCACAGAGTAGGTTGACGTCTTAATTTCAGCAATCTCTAAACGCGGTTATTTACTAATTATAGTTACCGTTGCGTACGAGAGGAATCTACGAGCGATCCGTTGGAAAGCTTAACTGCACTTTTATAGCGCTTCTCGACTTTAAACGGATAATTTTTATCCGCTAAGCTGCCGCCGCCCGGCGTCATCGCGCGTTCCACCCTTCCAATGCCGCCCTCGTCGTTCCAGGCGACCCCTCGTAAAATTAAGTCAAATAGTCACGGGGTGCTGAGCTGCCACTCGCTTTTTCGCGTTCACTGTTCCCGTTAAGAGGAACGCTCGAGCGACACTGGTCGCTTTCGCAAACGGCGGAAAGGGACAGTTTGTGAGTCGTTCGTGACACAACGATGATGACGTCTCCGCGAATGTCATCAAAAAGCGACGCAGAAACTATAGGGACCTTTGTCATAAACATTATAAGTGTTTCTTGTTTCTTCCTCTCCAGTTTAAAGATAATTTCTGTGTTAATAATTGCAATATTGAAAGAGAATAACAAAGAAAAAAATCGACTTTCGTATTTATTTATTGTATATGTTGATATTTTACGAAGAAAAATATATATGATACATAAAATTGCATTTCTTGTATATAATTTGTCGCACATTATGTTAGAAAAAGTCTGTAAAATTATTTAATCTTCCTTAACATATACAATAATTAGAGATGTAAATAAAAAAAACAAAATATTTTTTCTCTAAAATATGATTTTTTGTGAAAAAGACAACAGCTTCTTCGTTTTTTTCAAAATTTTGTTTTCTTTTAAGACATTTAACATTTTCATATTTTGATTATATTTATTGCAAATTTATTTTTCATTATGTTTTATTTTTTTAAATAGATTTGAAACAAACCACTATTATTTTAATTGTACATTGTATTCCAATTGGCTATTATGTAATTACTATTTTTAATTAGATAAATTCTCCAATATAATACTACAAAGTATTGAAGCAACTTTACGAATGTGTCAAATTTACGATTTTTTCTTCATTTTATTGAATATTGTCAAATAAAAATAATACCTACATAAATGTGTTACTATTTTCTTACATATACATATGCTTATATGTATGCAAATCGTTATCATTATATTGTACAATATGTTTATCATTATGTCGTACAATATATCATACACGCATACAATTAGGATTATTTATCTTATGATCAGTAGTAGACTATAAGGTAAGAGAGATAATGGCTGTCGCCGCGTATAAAATACAATATGAACATAATGCGTATAACGATATTCAAAATTTATTTTTCAAAAATGTGATTTTGGAAAGCAATATTAAATATGGATTTGGCAAAAATCTAAATGCTCTTCTCTTTTTGTTTTAATATAAATTTTATTTATAAAATTTAACTAGTAATAGGGAATATATTAAAAAATATATTTTGGAAATATATTTTGGAAAATCTAATTATGTACCGGATGTTGAAGTACATAAAATGCTATAAAACTAGTGCTTGCCTTTTTTTGTCTATTAAATTATTTCTAACCAATTATAATGTTAATTCAAAATTAGATATATCAAATTATATATAAGATATATTTGAGAGAATAATTATGTATTACATATATATCTTTATTTTTAAAAATTGTCTTAACTTTACTTATAATTATTTTTAATATTTGAAAATATTAAAAAAGAAAATTTTTATATTGGTAAAGTTTCTATGTAAACTCGTACAAATTTGTATAACATAATTTACCTTGATATATTAAAGGTACAAATCTATAAATCTTTTGTTTTGCAAAAAGCATCTTGCAGTTATATAGAAGAATATTTCTTATCAAATAAATAAAAACAAATGTAAGAGAATAGAAATCTTTTCTTCTTGTATAAAAATATTTTTAAACTTTATAAGCTTCTCTTTTTCTCCATATTACATTTATACAAATTGTTTGTATGGGATTCCAATCATTGATGAATTTAGGAAAAGGCTTGTCAGAAAAGAAAAAAATTATAAATTATAAAAATTATAAAGATTATTCTTTGAATGTTTCATTGAACATATTGTGAATATAGCATGTTAAGAATCGTGATTTCTAAGTAAAAAAAAAGTTATGAACATGTAACTTTTTTTTAGTAATTATTAATTAAAATAAAATTGTTTATTATTTAAAATTAGATCAGAAAAGATTACTTCATATTATTATTTTCTAATTTAATGAATGTAATAATAACAAATGTCACATAGGATAATAAAATTTGTAATAAAATGTAATTCATCGTTTATATTAAAGTTCAATTAATTACAAATTAAACGTGATTAATTAAAAATTAAGATTATTTATTTAAAAAATAAATTCTTATAATAAATCAATATAACTTCTTTTTAAATTTTAATTTTTCAAGAAATCTAAATTCTGCATATAAAACGTAAACACACATTCCAGATTATTGTTATTCTAATTATTTATCTTTAACTCTACTTTTCACATAGCACTGTTTGATTAATATTACTATCATAAAATAAAATACATGTTAAAGTGCTTTGAATACATGCTCACGAAAATTGAATACGAGCATCGAAATCGTCTTGAATCTCTGGTTCGCGACATTGAGTTATAGAAAGGTTCGTGGGGACACAACGCGAAAACTCTTTCTCTCTCTCTTTCTTTCTCTCTTTCTCGTTCGGATTAAATTACTTTTATCGTCGTGACGGAAAAGTAGACGGCGATTTAATTCGCGGTCATTCATGCGAGTCGCAATCGGGAAGGCCTGTTCGCTCGTGTGTCTGCCTCGAAGGCAGATTTGATCGCGTTTTCCGGCATTACACCGGTATAATTTTTTCCTTTTTTTCCTTTGCGCACCGGCCGTCAACCGTCAACGTGATTGACGAGTGATATCATTAACGACTTTAAGACACCCTTCTTTTGCGCCCGTCTTACTCCTCCCGTATCACGGTGAGTGCAATCTACTGCGATAATCTTATTAGTGGTTTTATTTCTCATTCCACGGAATCATGTTTAATATGTTTCTTCGAGCATGTCCTGTTCCTGATACTATTTTATGTACCTTAATAACTTGACTTTAGAGGGATAAATAACTATAAAGGAAAAAATTTATATCATTCTTTTGCATCCGAAAATTTTCTTGTTGATATTAAATTCATTTTATTTTTTATTAATTTCTTTCTTTATCTATTCTAAATCCATTGCTGTGTATGTATGTGATAACATCAAGGGTTATTATATGTTTAAAAATAATTTTAACATATTCCTATATAAAGAACACTAGGTTAACAAGAATTAAACATTTAGTTTTGAAGAATGATAGGGGAAAAGATGATAATATGGACCACTGTTTTGTTTTAGACGAAATACTTAATTTTAAATATAACTATTACATCAATAATCATCAATAACGTTAGCAAATATGTCTCTTATCATGTATTATTAATAATTAAGAAAAAAAATAAAAAAACTGTTTAAGGAATATAAAAATTTTTGTTAATATTTTGCAAAATGTGGGTCTTAAAAAGCGAGGTGGTAATATAAAACTGGCATAAAAATAAAAGCAGAAATATATAATTCTGTTATTATGAAAGATTCTACCTTTTATCATTAAAACAATCTTTTCATTGAATTTTCTTTAAAGAATATTATATTTTTTAAAAATTTTAAAATTAAAAATTAAAAATAATTAATTCAAATTACATTCATGAACAGAAATCGTAAATAAAAATCAGGTTCAAATTGTTCAATACATAAGCCTATTTCTATCACATCACACATTCAGACATTACAATAGTTTTAGGAAAATTCCACATGCTATTTTATATTACCACCCTGTTTCATATTCCCAACCTTTCCCCTATATATATATGTGATAATTAATTTTGAAGCAAAACTTGGTGAAGTACAAATTAACGATCATTTTTTTAAATTTAAAATGCATAAATACTCTCTTTTTATACACCTATTCGAAATAAATTTATTAATCAAATCTATAAAAATATGTGTTGTTTGCCAAAATAAAAAAGTTTTACTATATATAAAATAATTTTATAGGAATTATTCTAACAATAAATAATTTTGTCTTATTTAAAATGTATAAATTGATAATAAAATCCTATATGTATTATATATATAACATAAGTGTATATAACGAAATAATATAATTTACTTATTGAAAATTGCAAGATTGCTGCATTGATTGTTTGTGCAATTTATAATTCCTTAAAATATCCTTTATACACATAATTGCGATTTTTACCATTCATCTTAAAATAAAAATTGCTTTAAAATGTGCGAAATAAAGTGGTGTTAATCATGTGCCGATGATGAGATGATGGCCGTAAAAAGGGTACTCGCGCGCGCGCGAGATGATTGCAGCAGCATAGCTTGGGAGAGGGAGAGAGCAGAGAAGGGAGGGAAAGAACGATATATCTATCCAGGGTGCAGGGATATCCGGTTGCGCACATCCCGCACACCTCGTACACCTCTATCAACTTGGCACCCAGTAGCTCCGCCTACTCTCACGATACAACCTTCAACTCCTCGTACATACCTGAGAGAGAGGCGACAATCAGTTATATTACATATTATTATATCTTCCTTATCGAGCTC